CAAGCCAGCCGGGAAATGTAATCTCTCCAATGTGTCCTGGGTCTGCTCTGAGGTCTCCAGCTACTGGGACAAGCCCAAAACACAGCACCTCGGAAGCATCCCAATCAGATCCCCAAACCACCTCAACTGGCACCTTTTGATGTGGAGGAGTAGCAGCTCTACTCTAAATTCCTCCCAAATGGCTGGGCTCCTCACTCTATCTAGGAGAGCTCAGACATCCTACAGAGGAAGCTCATTTCTGCCACCTGTGATCTGACACCCACAACTCACAGCCAAAGGTGAAGGTAGGAATGTAGATCAACTGGTAAACGGACGGCTTTGCTTTCATGCTCATCTCTCTCTCCACAACAGGAAGGTACGACATCCAGATTACTGCAGACGCTGCGCCAATCTGTGTGTCCATCTCCCCCTTCCTTCTCCCCTCACTTGTGAACAAGACCCTAAAACCTAAAAAACTCCCACACTTAGAGCAGCAACTCATTCCCGACCCATGTGACTCTTTTTCAGATGAGAACCATGGTCTAAGACTTTGAGGTGCTAATTCCAATCCCTGCTGCTTCAGATTTGGCTGCAAACCTCCCAACTACAAGCTGGAGGTCATCATTCAGTGAAGCCAACAGAACCACATCATCTGCAGAAAGGAGAGATGACATCCAGAGAGAGACCACAGAATCTAACACATCCACCCTGGGCTACAAATTCAGTCCATAAAAATTATAACCAAAATCCATGACAGATGAAAGTCCTGGTGGCGTATAATACTCGCAAACAAATGTGTCCGACTTATTGAGACAATGCAGACAAAGTTCTTTCTACAAATAAATCCTGATATCTTAAAAATAGTATAAAATTGTAATACGGCTCATATTGTGCAATCAAAGCTTGACGATTAATCTAAACTCTTTCATGTTGACACATTGACGTAAATCGGTACCTATTGTTTTTTTCCACATTGTTCTAAGAGGACTTATTATAGCATCAGAGAGATGAAGATGGGTTTTGACATGAGTCTCACCATGAATAGCCTAACAGCAACAGTGCTGCAACCCAGCTGAGCACCAAGCTGTTCAGGAAAGATAGCCAGCGATAGTGAAACAACAGTAGGGTTGTAGGTCAGAATCAGGGCAGCAAAGAGCTGCAGACTGACACAGAGAGGGTGTGGTGACTGCACAGACTCTCACACAGCATGCTGTTTGAGCAGAAACAGCCGGATGAGTTCAGGGAACTCATATTTTACACACCAATACCACAAACTTTTGTGTAATGACATTTTATTTCAAATAACTACAACATTTATGAAGACTAACTGTAGCTATCAAAAATAATGAAATTATACCAAAAGGGCTGCAAAATCTGAGCCAATGTCCAGTTTTTTCCTTTTTTACAGTGTTACTATTAGACTGTCCATCAGCTGCTGAAAATCATTTCAATTTTTGAACTATTTTAAGCCACAAGTCAGATGGATCAAAAGCTAAAATTACCCCCATTTTCAAAATGTGCCAGTAGTTTTATTAAGTACAGAATAAGCTTTGATTTTTTAACAAAAATAGCACATTCAGGGCAGATACCTAATCTGAGACTCATCAGTTTCCTCTCCAGCAGCACTGAAATGAAAATCAAGCTGACCTTGAAGTCAACGCTGATTTGGCTATTCTATTTTAGGGATGAGACATGATACAACATCATTTGATGTCTATTTAGAGGCTTTCCTCTTCTGGTGCACCGACTGTATTGGATTTCACATCCGCACACTCACCTATGCATATCTCATCATCCGTCTCAGCATCTCCAATGCACTGGAATTTAAAGTCATTGAGAGAGTCAGCAAACTTCCTCTTCGCTGTCGACAGACCTGAGAGAACAGAAAAAATAAGAACGTTAAGGTCGTATTTTATGTTGGTCCACCTCACTTTAAGTGAGTTTGTAATAATGTAATAACAAGCTGTACCAAAAAATCTTAATCTGAACTGCAGCAAACCTAGTACTAGATAATGTGATAAGATTATGGACGAGAATAGCTGTTTTGTCCCGATTATGCTTTTAATGCAGGTACTGAAAGTGAGTGGAAAGGCGGACAACACAAGTGGGTCCCCTGTGGCGTCAGTGATGGAGGTTGACAGCTCATATATTTGTGTGTGTTCGTGCTGAGAAGTGCAAAAAAAAAAAAAGTTCCATTTGACTTAAGTCACATTAGCCAGGCGAGGAACTGAAAAGCCTTAGACAGCTGGATGCCTTTCAAATAATACATGAGGCGCTAAGAGCTCCTAGGAGACAGACACTCACGGCGAGCTTGGCTTCCCTTGCATTTAAACTCAACGCAGGGTCACCTCCACTACAACATTTCCTGTTGCTTGACTGGCTTAGGTCAGCAACATTCAAAGGATCACGATGAAATAGTGGAAGGATGAAGAGGAAGACACACAAAAAAGAAACAGACTTTACATAACTTTCTTGTAAATCGCATGCTGTGGAACAGCACCCCGCAACAATGGCTTGCTCGCCATTCTGACACCGACCCCGAAGGAATGGATTAAAATAATTATCATTTTATACTGAATAAAGTGTTCTTTTACTTTAACATTCAAAAAAAGAAAAGAAACTTATGCATGATGCGGTCAGCTTCAGCAGGGAAACCCACGTCGATAGGGAGGAGGACAAAATTTATACAAAAGCTACACAAGCAAATATGTATTTGTGGCATTTTGCAAAATAAAGATAGAAAGTATAATTAAATCCAGGCAAGAGGAGAGATCAAGAGTAAAAATGCGCATGGGAGTCAGGGAAAGGACAGCAAGCGCAGACAGAAGAAAGACAGAGAGTAATTGGCCATGTTCAAGTAAATACCACTGCTCCTCCGTGTAGATCAGTGCAGTTTGCCAGTCACAGAAATGAAACGCAGGCCCAGCAGCTCCGCTTAAATGTGCTGCCAGAAAAACGTGCACGCTGGCACAGAGAAACGCACACAGACCACGGACTGACTCAAAAAAAACATTTAGGATGTCCGTGAGCAGTGAGTCACAGTAGCCCTGTGTCATCAAAATAACTAAAGTATGACCAAAATAAGACCACACTCCAAACTTGAAGGATAAACTGTGGTTTTACGGTGCCAGTCAGTGTCCAGTATTTAAAAAAAAACCAAAAACCCACTGTACTTTCACAGTATTTCCCCTATTCTCAATATTTTACTGCAATTACACAACAGAAATCATGTGACATATTTTAATAAAATTAAATATATAACAATGTTTAAAGGTAAACATGTATATAGTGAAGCAAATATGTTTTTCCAATAGAAAATTACAATGAAAACCAAATGTTGTCTATAATGTCATATTGTTAATGAATTTACAGCATAAATAACTAACTAATATAAGTAGCATACATAAAGTAATATAACCTTTTCTTCAGTTGCTTTGAAAGCCAGCAGGTCTCAGCTCTCAAACGTTTCAGGGTGTTTTTAGGTTTAAATGATTAAACATGCTGTTTTCAGGCTTTATAATCACTGCCATTACATATTGGCAAATGAGGCTGCACTGAGTGATCTCAGGTACGAGCCAGATCTTAGGTAACCGAGGCGCCTGCTTTCTATCACACATTTCAGTAAACTTTAGTTTCTATAACTTATTTGTTTTGTGTAGTAGCATGGGTGATTCATTTTCAGCACGGGTGGCCTCAGCGGGAATCACATCCAGCCCTGGTAACAGTGACATCACATCCACTGAGCTGTATAAAACCATATCTCTCTCTACACTCTCTCATTCTTACGTCTCCGCTCTCTTATTTTTGGCCTCCACCTCCCTTAGGTCTCCTTTTTGACAGTTTTTTTTTTTCCCCTCCTTTATTCCCACTGACAGTTCTTCTCAGCACCCCGTGAGTGAAACGTGCCCATCGATGATTTCTCCTCTCCAGCTTCAGCCACACTCTGTGTGCTCTCCTGCACACAAATCACAACTAACCACAAACACACACTAAGTGCCCCTTTCTGATTTTGCATATTTAAACACTTACATGTTTCAGAGTATTGAACAAATTCTAACATTAGACAACCTGGAGCAAAATAACCTGAATAAATACAAAAGGCAGTTCTTAAATGGTGATTTTTAATTTTCTTAAAGGGAAAAAAACTATCCAAACCTTCCTGACCCCATGAAAAAAGTATATCACTTGATAAGTATGTCAGCAGAAAAATCAGCAGTTTCCATCCAGGGAAGAACTGGTAGCCCATAAAAAAACTAAAGGTTTGAACACAACATAAAGTTTTATTCCTCCTAGAAATCTCATTTTCATGTCATGGAAACCCCAAGCACGTTGACAAATACATTATAAACACCAGTGTGTAGCACACTAGATAAAGTAGACAACTCATATGCTGCAAGGCTATTGCAGAGGCCTGAGTTCAAATCTGGCCCCAAGGCCATTCACTGCATGTCTTCCCTGGTCTCTCTCCCAGCCGTTTCTCTATTGTCCTATTGAAATAAAAAAAAAAGTAGTATTACTAGCCTTAAGAAGAATTCCTTCGAGAAATCTTATCTCCTAGATAAGATCTTTCAGGTTTTCTAAGAGAAAATTGAAACGGACACTGTGTTTGTTATTTGCAGCAAAGTATCATCATTAAGACAGGACAAAAAATAATTTGATATAATTGCATAATTTTTCAGACACACCATCATAGCACTTCTGCACGAAAGTTTAAGGTTTGTTTCCCCCTTGAATCACTTAAAAATGTGATGGAAAAATAAAAATCAAAGTGCAAAATTCTGTTTAACCTACTTTCCCTTGGAGAGTCTCACTCTACATTTTGGCAAACAGTGTGATAAGGTAACTTTTTACTCTGGCTCATAAATACAGATACGCATCAGGAGTGGACCAGCGCTCCCTATAGTCAGCAGTTTTGGCAGCAATGACACAACAGGACACACATAAATCCACATATATATTCACACATTTATGCACGCGCACAAACACGTGTCAGCCCCATGCGGGTCTCTCGGCTTATATGAACCATGTTTTCAAATCAAAACCACATTGTTGGCTGATTAGATTCTGTAAAATCCTGCCAACACAAAAGAATCACTATAAAACAAAAAAAAAAGAATCACACACCACAACAAGTACATTGTCCAGAAAGCTTTAGGAAAAGGGAAAGTCTACTTACAGATGTAGCAAGAAGTGATGCTTGCCATTTATGGCATCCAATTTAATGCGGTAAGACACATGTTCAAGCTCCAGGTTAAAAGAAACGTTGTAACTGGCTGACAGGCTGAGCTATAACACCGGTCAGTCATTTGTACGCATGAGTCCAATTTCTGGCTAGGTACTAAAAAGGAAAGGGAAAAGTAGATGGTTTACATTACTAAAGTTATACAAAAACTATTAACACGATAGCAGACTGTGTGCTTCAAATTTTTGGGCAGCTTGTTGCTACTTTTAACCACCAAACAGAACTGAACTGCATGTTTGCCACTACAGCACTGTCCCATTATCGTTATTAGTGCATAGGTCAGCTGTCAATGTGATAAAAATCTTAAAATTCTACGAGAAAATATGTAAACCATTTTAAATATGCTGAATCAGATTAGAAGCTAAAATAAAAACACACAGTTGGATGTGTTGATGCCCTGCCGTCAGTATGTGTGTATTTGTATGTGCGCGCCTGTATGTCTGTGCCCAGGCAGGAAGGACAGCAAAGGACAAGGACAACTAAAAATAGATGACCCTGTTGACACTTGCCTCTCCGTCTTTTCTCTCACACTCACAGGACAAAATTCCTGCCATGCTTCGCTCCTTTAATTCTGAGCTCAAGACACCAACGAAAAAGAGACACACAAACGGAAACACACAAACATGCACCGATAGGACAAACGCCCTGCTGCAAGAGAACTCCACAAGAACAGTTTGATGAACATGATGATGAAGACATGGCCTCCATACTCCACCCATCCATCAATCGAGCTCTTCTGCAGGAATATTATGGTGCTGCCAAAGCAACCCAGATATTTAGTAGCCCAAGGGCTCCTCTCAGCTGGGACATGCCTGAACTTCCTCACCTAAGACGCAATCTCATCAGAAGCACTTCAACTAACTTTCTGTTTGGAGGAGTACTCTGAACCCCTCCTGAATGACTGTCACTCTATAATTAGGGGTAAGCTAAGACACACTTAGCATTTTCTTTCAGGCACTAATCAGAGCACTCGTGAACAAATGTAAAAAGAAAATGTGGGTAGGCGGCCATATAAATGTAAACACTCCCAGCTCAATTTCCACTTTTTTTTTTAAACCTTCTTCTCTGAAGCAGTAACTTATCCCCAACATTAAACTCTTTTCATCTGAAGTCCATAGCCTTGAACTTGAAGGTTCTAACTTATAGTGACGTGACACACAAAGCATCAACCACTGCTAATGAAAAATGTTATCTTATTCGCTAACAGGCTGATTGCAATCAACAAGGCTGATTCCAGCAAATAGCGATCTTGGGTCATTTTATTAGCACACACCTCATCATTCGTTTTGGCTGGTTCAACTTCAACCCAGCAGCAGCAGCATTTATGTCCACATTTTGTTCTTCATTAGGGAATTATTACAGTATTTAGGATTTTATTTCCAATTTAGAAAATCTCTCTTAGAGATTCTTTGACCATTTTATTTATTTATTTTATTTATGCTCAGTAATAAAAAAGTTTAAACTTTGATTTGATGAAGTATTGTGAGTTTACCCACCTAAGAATGCAGAACTTTTTGAACATATGCAAGTACGGCTGGGCCATATCATACCATTAACGGTAATACCGGTATAATGCTAGGTAATGGTAAGAAAATGAAATATCGCGATAGAATATGGGTAAAACGCGCATG